TTTGCAGTTGCAGTCCCTCAGGGGTGTCCGACATACCGACAAAATCATCCGCAAACAGCATTCCTGAAACCGACGTTTCCGTGTCCCCTACTTTTACTCCCTTCCGGACTGCCTCTACGACTTCCAACAGATCGTTGATGAACACCTGGAACAATGTTGGGGACAGCGTGCAACCTTGTCGCGGAAGGGGGGGGGGGGGTTACTCATAGTCGTGCATGATGTAGTCGTTAGACCATTGACCACGCGTCCTTGAGAGGACGGAGCATTTCTTCCACAGCATGACCAATCGGTCCTTTCTACTTTGCCAAAGGTGGCTGAAAAATGTCTTCCCTACTCGATGTACAAGTATCCTATCGATACCACTTCTTCCCTTTTCAACCCACTTCCCATGGGGCGTGGCGCAACAAGTTCGGAGGGGGTGGGTGCCCATGAAAACGCATGCCGTGTACGGTGCGATATGCCGGGGGAGGGGGGATATCTACTTTGTCAGGAACGACGAGGCGGGATACTTCGATATCGCTTGCGCACATCGGGTTGGGGAGGGGATCGTTCGTTATTCTTCGGGTGTAATAGGTGGGGTGTTGCTGCTGCCTTGACTACAGTGCCATCAACGCTGTGATAGCACACAACCTGACGTCTCTGCTGTCAAGTGTTACAGAACACGATCCGACCAACGTTGTTGGTCACGACTTGCAAGTTGTGTCTAGAGGTTACAGCACAGAAACAGAGAGCTCTTGTGTCTCGTGAGAAAAAAAAAACTTTCTTTTTCGCAAGCGAGAAAATAAAGTCTTGATCTTATTGCGCACGAGAAACTAAACGTCCTAGAAAGCCTCCACCCGTTGACGACCATTCTACGTGAGTGAGCAAAAGAAGCAACATGTAAAAAGGAGCGTAATCCTTAGGGTGTCTACGAAAATCGTCGTTGTTGATTCAGGACTTGAACTATGCACAGAACACACTGTGGGGAAGATAGGTCCATCCCTCTACAACCTCCACAAAAACCAGTCCGTTGGTCGGAAATCGGTTCTGACGCGTGCAGTTCTCCCTCGATTATGGGCAAAAACATGCTGCTCTTTCGAGTAGAATGCGGTTCTCTTGGAGAGGTGCCTTTCACATTACCGTCAAGAAGCCTGCAGTGCTCTCTCGATTGCACGACAAAAAGTGCTGCTATCTTCCATAGGATGCGGTCCTCTTCGAGGAGAAAACTTTAAACTTTCACAGCAGTGCCTGAATCTCCAAAAGGCGCTAAGGTTCATGCTTCCAAGAGATGTGATCCTCCCCGTGCCTGAAATTGCGTCAAGGGTAAAGGTCTCACCTCCGTGGCAGCTCCTCGAAGCCAACCTGGCCTCGCATCACTGTGCCTCCAGCAATCCGCCTGCTCCGAAGGAACCACGTCCGAGAAAAAAAGATGAATTCCATCACCAAGAGGTCGAAGACAACGAGAAACGGCCGTGACAAAAAAAAACAAGGGGAAAAGAGGGGATGGCCGAGACCAAAAAGAGCACGGGGACAAGAAGAAACTGTGAACAATAACCTGGTGGGGAAAGAGTCATAATTGAAAATATCCACTGAAGGGAACCGAGGCAAGACTCGGGAAGGTTGTGGTGGCGGGGTGACGCGAAATCAATGTGATGT